TTTTCTAGCGAAAAGGACAAACGATTGCTTCTGATTTGTCTTTAAAATTCATTGTGTACAAATATTATTAACGTTTCCTTTTACTATTTACAATTCGGTCAGACTAACTTAAGATATTCTCAAAGCGTTCTACGAGGTTCTATTCCAAAAGTATTGCGAATTTTGTGTTATGTTGTATTGTGAACTATAATCAAAACCTTCACATTCGACCTAACTTGGCGCGCTTTTTTTAGTCTTGGCTCGTGCGGCTCCATTGGGATGATTGAGCTTTGGTTTCCACATCATAATCATAAACCCAGGATTCGTTACCTGCTATAACCCTCTGTAGTAAATTCGGGTCGTCTCGGACAATGTCCAACAGCTGTTGGTGATGTGTTTTTGGTCGAAATTGAGCAATTTTGGTACGAATTTCGCGGCGACCCGTCCAATGCCCAAATCATTCATCAATGTTCTCATCTACTGTTAACGTGCTCGGGCGTCCTGTACGCTCTTCGTCGTTCACATCTCCTTAGCCTTCTGCGAACATTTTTTACCACCGATAAACGTTGCTTCGCTCCAAGGTAGCTTCATCATATGTCACAGTCAACATTCGGAATGCGTCCGCGCATTTAATTTTGTTATTCACATAAAATTTGATACAGATTATTTGATCCATTTTTTGGAATAGATAAAAATCGAAGACGAGCTAAAACACGTACTGCCAAAAATTAACTGAACACTCAACACGGCTGTACTTGTTAGTATAAGCGAGAGGCATGAGTACCAATATAAAGCCACAAAAAATCGAAAATGGAATAATAATAATAACCTAACCCATGGAAATTCAAAATTCGCGATACTTTTTGGACATACCTCGTATATTTGAAATTGGCCAAGCGAAAGGCGTAATAAGCTGTCCTTGAAAAAAGGGAAACTAAAAAAACCGAATCGTTCGCCTGGGAAAATTAATACTTAAGCATGATATAAGTTTTCATATGAAGCTTAAGTAGGTACCTAATACTATTCGACGGAGAAAGCTTTGTACTTGTATGACATTATGCTACGTTTACAATAGAACAACAAGGATAATATTTCGAAAAGATAAGTTACGTGATGTCTTGTTATAGTAAAAGATAATGGTGAGGATCACGGACTAAAGTAATTTACTGAAACATTGTCTATTACGTGTTGTTGCCGTATAATGTTAGAGGTCGTGTTTTAAGGTTCGAAACTTGTTCTTACAGAAAATAACATCGTTTGTCTTCGTGAATTATTGGCTTCGATCGATGAAAGGTTCGAAAGGATTGGGAGTTCAATCGTTTGTATTCGATATTGAAATAGTGCCGAAAAAGTTTCAGCTACTAAATACTTGCATTTGAACGTTTACACGAATTTTTTTTATTTCATTTCGGATTTAGTACCTACTAACTCTTGATTTAAAACCCCCGAATGTTATATTAGTGGAAAACATTTTATAAAGAGTGTAATCGTCTGTATGAAGTGGAATTCGATTGCCATTCGAGTTGACCTATGCTTTTGATACGCGAATTCTATTTATTTAACTTTTTTAACTGCAAACACTACAACAGAAAACGTTTTTATTATTTTACCAAAGCCTCGTTTACTTTGTTATAGCAAACAGCAAAAGCGAATGGTCACTACCCATTTAAGCCTACCGTGCACTGCGAGTTTTTAGTCGTGTGATTATTTAGTCGCAAAAATGTAACACACGAATGAATATGAGTACCCTTGTTAGAAATGAAGACACAATTTTTTCAAAAATTTTTTTTTATTTTTCAACATAGTCCCCTTTTAGGAAGACACACTTTTCCCAACGTTCCTGCCATTTTTGTAACTCCTCCAAAAAATAGGATTTGTCGAACTTTCCAAAATACGCCCCTGTCTCGGCGATGGCTTCCCCCTTTGAGCTAAATTTTTTCTGGCGAGTCATTTGTTCATGTTAGGGAACAAAACGAAGTCGCTGGGAGCCAGATCAGGTGAATACGGGGGGTGCGACAGCGACAGCGTGGTGAAAAAGCTTCTTTTTTTCGCCAAATACATCCGTGTCTTCTTCAATTTTTTGTCGAAGCGGTCCAATAACTCACTGTAGTATTGTCCTGTGATCGTTCTTCTTTTTTTTTCTAACCTGCCGAAACTACCACCGAAACCGAAACTGCGTTCGGGAGTTCTCGCGCTCTGCTCGGTCATGTTCGGCGCGTTAGATTCCATCCAAGCGAAGTAGATTAGTAGACATTTCGCATCTTCAAAAGAAAAATGAGTCTAGTCTACTATACTTTCTCAAATAAACATCTCACCTATTTGAAGTATTTTTAAAGCGCAATTAAAGTATTTCCTTAAATGAGGGGTTGTTATGTTGATTTTGATTTGATTATCAATAAGTGAAAGTGTCAAAGACTGCAGAGCTGTGTGATTTAGAGATAAAAAAATAAAACTGACTGATTATAATAACGTTTTCTTTATTTTTCTCTCAAAACATGATTATAAGGAAGTTTCGGTTTCGGTTTCGGCCGAAACTGAGATCGTTGCCGAAATTCGGTTTCAGTCGTAAAAACCAGTTTCGGTCGGACACTACTTCTCGCCACTGCTGAAATTGAAACAGGAAATGTAGCCAAAGCGATAACTTGATTTGTGCAATTGCAATTGGTGAAACAGCCCTTTTGTTTTAGTCTTCGTATAAAAGTTATATTCTGCATATTACCATGTACGCAATAACGTTGATTGTCACTTTTTAATAAAATAACGGGCTAGTTTGAAAGCGTCCCGCTGTTACTGTCATTAATACCGCTCTAAAACCAACTACTAAAAGCTATTCAAATGGAGGGTACATAAAATATTGATTACAAAAGTTAAATAACTATCTACTTGTAGGTCTGTTTTTAGTGCTCTCGGCTTGAAAATTATTGTCAAACGTTTTCCGGTTTCCGGATACGACTCGTATGATGTATTTCTAATTATAAACTTGAGTTAAAGCATCAACGAAGCACTTGTTATTAAACCTAAAATTTTACATCGTATGTATACGTACTACTTACTTATACCCTTAGAAGTAGGGACGTACTGTGAACTGCAGTTTCGTCTGCCAACTTTGCAAATCAATTACGGAAAGTTTGTGTTCGTGGAATCTGCGCAGATGCTGAGTTACTCCGCAAACCAAGAATAATATTAAATTAAATTTAACTTCGTTCAGTCAGATCGCTTGAGATGATTTTATTCGAAACGGCAAGTTCTCAGTTTTTCCAAGATAATTGCTTGACGTGGCCAATGAGCTTCATTTCTCATACGTTTCGATTGAGCTCCCGTTGGTCTTGATTGACGTTGAACTAATTAGCCACTGAAATAAACTTTATAAATGCCGTGGCTGTTTTCTAATAGTGCTTTCCGTTTATTTAAACTGTGACCTATCAGAAATCATAATTATATTTTTGTGTACGTTTGAGTATGTCAACAGCCATCAGAAGTTACAAACTCTGAACTTTGATATCTCTGTCTTTTACAAGACTCAAATACGTGCTCCAAAGTCTGCCCTAGACAAAAATCTCTCGCCAGTCTCTCAGAGTCTTTCAGCGACTCTGAGAGCGTCTCTCACAGTCTTTCACAGTCTCTCAGTTATTGCCTAGGTGTTTTTATGGATCTCTCACAGTCTCTGTATGAGAGACTCGAACGATAAAATTGTTAATTCAGAGATTCGAGTCTCTCGTACAGAAACCGGATACGACATGAGGATCTCTCTATGAGTGACTCGAATCTCTTGTTCAGAGACGCGANACAGTCTTTCACAGTCTCTCAGTTATTGCCTAGGTGTTTTTATGGATCTCTCACAGTCTCTGTATGAGAGACTCGAACGATAAAATTGTTAATTCAGAGATTCGAGTCTCTCGTACAGAAACCGGATACGACATGAGGATCTCTCTATGAGTGACTCGAATCTCTTGTTCAGAGACGCGAAACAGTTTTTTTAAAAGTCTCTCGACAGTCCCCCTCCAGCGATAGCAGAGAGAGACTCGAGTCTCGCTTTCAGAGACTCTGAGAGACTGAACATTTTTATCTCGGATGACGCTTATGTTTTCAATGCTATTTGTTTAATAGGTGTCGTAGCTCTTGAACATACTACTGCTCTTGAGTCAGTAGGTCAATTAGCGACCGTTTAAATAGCAGAATCAATAATAATCGGGAGAGTTGAATTCAAGGTCACGAAGTAGCAAATAATGCAAGGTGGTGAGACAGCTCACACTCTAAGGAATGATTATCACATAAAATTAATGTGTTAGACGATATAGGTAAATTACGTTAGGGTGAAACATCCTGTATTTTCTTCGATCATCTGGTATTCATATGTTGCAGGTAGGCATTTTGCAATCACCAAACTATTTCGTTTTTATTTTCTAGTTACGTTAAAAAACGACACACCACCTGAAGACAAGTGTGACTAAAGGTGTATACTTTTAAAAAATATCTATCTAGAATACTGTATCGTTTTTTTTTGCTTCGCGTATACTTTCCCTTCTGGCGTTACTTACTTTGAATATCTCTGCCAATATTTGATATCTATTCTGAATCATTTTATTATGTGGGGGAAGAAAACAGGGCGGTAGTGCTCTACGATGTCAATTTCCGAATTTGATAAGAGAACGGGAAAATGTTATTGATTCCTCAAACGCCCGAAATAATGAAGCAACAGACTAGAATAGCGTTTTAAAGAACAAGAATACTTTTATATACCGTATGCGAAAGTGCGGATCTTGGCATTGATTATAATATGCCGCTCTCATCAATAACAGTAAAGGCGGCGCGCGCACATCGATTGACTCTTCTGATAGGCATAGCAAGGACTGAGTTCATTTGCGGCCATAGTCAACGTATGAATTTTACACCCTTAAAAATTTATCGTGAGTTTATTTTTCAAGGTATTCAAACGTCGAGATTGGAAATTTGTCACTACGACAGAATGTAATATAATTTTTAATATACAACTAATTAATGTCAAAATAATTAATTTTCAGATGTGATCAACACACTGCTGGTGCTCATCATATAAAAGGGCCGAAACAAACACTGAAGGGTGAGTTTCTTCTTCTTTATCATTCGCTTTATTTATCTATATATTTACTATTGGGATTCGTCAAATGGGCATACACCATCTGGTGGCAAAATTTATAACTCGAATGAGGGAAAAACTTACATAGGAACTGTGCACACAAATTGTAAAATTGTTTATTAAAATAATAAAACACGTTAAAAATGTAAAAATTTTTTTGATGATGGAGTCGACGAAGTTTTCTTCTAAAGTTAAATCAAATAAAAAGTTAATATGTTCAGTGAAAAGCTGTAATAGCACTTCAGACGTAGATCTTCACTCTTGACCTACATTAACTACTTTCCAATAAAAACTCACCGTTTTATATATGTAAAAAATATATTCGGAAAAATAAAGAAAAAAATAAACTAATAGAAGCTTGGATGAAAGCAGTAGGTATCAAAGAAGTGAATTCCGGAATGAAAATTTGTTCACGTCATTTTAATGCATATGATTATATTTCAACAAGTATTTACCATCAGCCATAACCTTAACATTTAAATCCAGAATCATACAAAAATTATAAAGTGAGAAACTATTTATTCCTGTGTAATTGATTTAACACAATTCTAATGACACGATATAAGTATTTTGAGGTTACGAACCTACCTGCTGCAATACAACAAAGTTGCAATAATGTGTTTGCAACGTTCTCTTAAATCGGCTTTGCACGTGCAAGTCATTGATATGATATTGCTTAAATCACCCAGAATCACCTCACCAATTATATAACGGGAATCACTTTTTAAATCCGAAGTTTGTAAAAAGTTGACGAAATTTGAAGGCTAGCTTCCGGATTTGTTATTTCCGAATTTTATATGGTGATTGGCATTAAAGACACGCTCATCTTCAACGAAATTTCCTTTCCGAGGCTTTGTGTCAGCCCAATCACATATTGTGTCAATACTTATCATTTTATCGTAAGGTACACTATAGGAACTACGATAAATTTTCCCTATTCGGCGCCATGTTTTTAGGCTCCTTCCATTTGACGGATCCCAATGTTATTTGTTTTATTTTTATAATTCCGTATCTTGCTAAAGTTAAAGTTAGGTATTTAATAATGATTAGGAGAGATCGTTGTGCTTGCATGCACTAACAGTAGAAAGAATTATGAGAACGTTGACTGCATGTTTAAATGTTGCAAAACATAACAAACGTCACCGTAAATCACATTTAACAAATTGTTAAAGTTGCACAGATGAAATTATTTCGGATGTAAAAGAACGTACGGTTTGGAAAGTTTGGCAAACTCGCCGGTCGTTTTAAATTTCGAAGCAGCGCAGCGCGGCGCTGTGACACACTTTACGCTTTATAAAGCACATGCATTATGCAGTTCTTGTTCTTGGTTGACGATCTTTTAGTACTTTTCCCAACTTGGTGTGCTCAAGTCTTGTCCAATCAGTTCCGGCACGTAAAGTTAAACTCTACCGAGTTTTCTATTCGTGCAACCATCAACTCAAATAACATTCATCTCTGTTTACACGTTTCTTTCAGATGCGGCATATGTAACGAGTCATGTGTAAGGAAATAAGGGGAACAACTCATGCATTATCCATTACTGGTGTCTTTAAATTAATTCATACGAATAATTCCCTGTTAAAGTCGGAATTACTCGGTTTCTTTTTAGCGTTCCCTGCTTAAAGCGATAAACCGGTACACTGTTGCCAAAAGAAAGTTCCTAAATTCCAATTTTAAATCCCCTATAAAAGTAAAACAAAAGTACTAGTATGCAAGGGAAGAAAAAGTAGGGAAAGAGCGAATATAAAGATAGAAGACGAAAAATTAGAAGAAGTGGCTGATTTTAGGTATCAGATAGGTTAGGGTGGAAGGAGTAGTAAGGATATAAAACAGAGGGTCAAGTCGCCTTCAATAAACAGAAGTCACTATTATGCTTGCGAACGATTAATTTAGAAATTTGAAAAAGATTGTTAAAGGTGTATGTTTGGAGTGCGGTGCTGTACGGGTGCGAAACAAAAACGATGGGCGCTGCGGAAAAGAAAAGGTTAGAAGCGTTGGAAATGTGGTGTTACCGGCGAATGATGAGAATATCGTAGATATAGAAGGTTAGAAATGAAGAGGTATTAGAAAGAAAAGGAGAACAGAGGAGTCTGTTGAATTCAATAAGGAATAGACGAGATAGGTTAGTAGGACACCTTCTCAGGTATGAAGGTCGGTCTAGACATATTAGAGGCAGAAACGGGAGTTAGGAGGGGTAGAGGGAGACCTAGATTAGATTACTGTTCTAGTTTTAGGGAAATGCGAAGATTAGCTCAGGATAGAAAAGAGTGGAGGTGCCTGCCCAACCAGTCTTAAGACTGGCTGACGACCTTATGATGATGAGATCCCCTATAAAATAAGAAAATTAATGTTTTATGGTGCACATATTTTTCTTGTAATGTTGTTTGCGATAATGGTAAATGGTAAAAAAAGCTACTGATACTACAAAGACTTCATCCACATGGATTCGATTCCATCTTAAATGTCAATTTTATATCTTTAGTGGTAGTATTTTGAAGCTTCCTGACTCTGCAGTTTAGTCGGTGCCTTGATCGCTACATTAAACTTTAAATCTCGTTTTCATCCCTTTTGGGGTTGAATTTTAAAAAATACATAGTTGTATAAGAAAGGTCCATGCAAAATTTCAAGTTTCTAAAAGCACTGGAGCTTGGGCTTTGTGTTGATGAATCAGTCGGACTAGCAACTAGCTGTTGCTCTCGACAAATCCCCATTTTACAGCTTTAGGGGTGGTATATTAAAAATTCATTTTATAGTAGATCGATGATACCGTTGTAGAAGGGATCTGTGAAAAATTTTAAGTCTTTTGATTCAGAAGGTTCTGCTGTGTCCTGATCGATTTATCAAACCTTAAATCTCTTTTCCTCCCCTTTAGGGGTAGTTTTTCTCTCAAACTTTAAGCCTCTTATTCTCATAAAATAAAATAAATTTTTATCACATAAATGCATTGTTTTGTTGTTTAATTCTGATTGATTTCATCGATTGCATATTTGAGTGTTGAATAATAATTAATTAATTGCTACTATGTTTTGACTCTTCTAATTCATTACATACACAGATTGTCGTAATGAATTATACTAATTGAATATTCAATAGCAATCGGTTAATCAGAGGCGCCTTTGTTATTATGATATTTTAATAAAGCCAATCGATGATTGAAGTTGTCATTTTCAGACAGTCCTATACGATTCAAGATGTCTGAATTAGTATTAAAATTATTAAGATAGCGTTAGTGGTGGAGTAATCACAGAAAAAAAATAGTTTAGCAAACTAAATATTACCTGCTAAACAGCATGCGTTTGACGAGTATAGATATATTAATTATTATAATAATCCTTTAAATAACTAAGGAATAAATATTGGAACCCCGGTATACATTTTCAGGATACTAATTCCCAACACAAATTTTTTCTAAATCTACAAATCCTATGTACGCACTCTTTCTTTCTATCGTTTTCTCTATTACTACCCGTAAAGCTAGATATCGCCACATATGTAATAAACAAACAGGGATTTGCATCAATCATTGAAGCAAACGAATTAGAAATTTGAATCATCCTTCATTTTTGGTTAATCAACAACAAAGTAAAAGAACATTTAAGTAGCGTTACCAGAAAATAGAGCAAGCTACATTTATTGCTGTACTAGTGACCCGCCCCAGCTTCGCACGGGTGCAATGCTGATACTAAATATATTTTTGTTTTGTTTAGATTATTATCGAAAAGGGGAAATCTTCAAAAGATATCCCCTGAACATACTAAATATACTACAGAACGTCTTTATATACAACATTCACAGTTTTTTTGTCATTAGACGATACAAACCGGCCTCCCGGCCGGTATCGCCGCAACCGCTATGTCCCTGCATTTTAAATCTGTAATATCTTCGAAAATATTCATTTAAATTACATGCTGTAAAGGGCCATATTGATCTATATTAAATGCACAATGTATTTAAAAGAAATTAATTGGATAACAATTAATGCTGTATTGCCTACAATCGCTTCGTAAATAAGTCATTATTTCTCATAAAAAGTAAAGGATAAAAATGGTTATTGTGGGTTATCCCTAAGAGATAGACACATACCATCGCGGACTTTTTTGTAGACCCTTTTAAGATGTACAATATTGTAATACATTCAGCCAGCGTTTGCAATGTAAGCGCAAAAAAATGAGTTTATTTACGACATCACATTAGAAACCTCTAAAATTATCAGTGTTTCCCTACTATATTATGCATGTATTATACATATAAACCTTCCTCTTGAATCACTCTATCTTTTAAAAAAAACCGCATCACAATCCGTTGCGTAGTTTTAAAGATTTAAGCATACATAGGGACAGACAGCGGTAAAGCGACTTTATTTTATACTATGTAGTGATGCTACAAGCTATAACCAGCATGTTGTTGCTTGCTACATTCATTCAGTGAGCTCTGATTTATTTGCTAGCATCGGTTCAATTTGAAGTAGCACTCCACTTTCTAGATAGCCTAAACTTTAACATCAAGAACCTCTCGTTTGCTTTTATTACAGGTCCGCGCTGGTTTACTAGTGATTATTGTTATCAGTTTTCTCACTTTTTCTGTGTAAATTCTTGTGCCGATTAACTTTGACCATTAAAATTTGATTTGTACATTTAGTCACGGGCAATAAGCTTACCTTGCATTCGATCTTAACGGGTTCACCTTTGGCAACTCCTAAAACTTTCCGGTTGTTGGGCTCTCCGCAAACTGGTTCAAACTTGACTTTAAGTTGAAACGGTACGCTACGACTTGTGCCTTCGGTATTTGACGACTCACAGTAATAATTCCCGGAACTGCGGCGACTTACACCCTGTAAATAATAAGCAAATTTTATTTTCAAATACAATTAGTTCCATTTTCTCTTTTGTTTTTATATTTTTGTTTGCAACATCTACAAGTATTTCCATGGCGGAGTTCGTTGAAAGATTTTGACGAATTATGTTTCCCGCTGAAGAATTTCGTGCTACAATTAGAACTTTAGAACTAACAAATTGAGAGAAATAACTGTGCAGCTAATTAAGCACGTTTCAGAAACGTGGTTCGAAGTAATTTGACTAGTATTTAATAATTTAGTAGAAGTTTCGTTAGACTCAAGCGAAGGTAGGCAATCATCTTCAATATCCGAAGCAGCAGTAGTAGTTAAAAAAAAAATAACAGAGACATGGCAGAATTGGATATGAATTTCAAGTTAGGTACCTACTCTATTAAAACTTAAATTCAAAAAAATCCTTATAAATGCACAACAAAAAGGCAGAACATTTATAAAAATGAATACTTTTAGTGTTTTACAAATTTCACAAAATATCAACAATCGTATGTTCGTTTTCGTTTTCGGAAAAGGGAGATCTATTTAAAAGTACCTATAATAATAATTTTTTTGAAACTATTTGTGTAAAATATGGTGAATGATATCGCAAATCTTGCTTTTTAACTTACGTATTTTCACGTTTAACAAATTCGAAGTAGGGTTTAAAAATTAGGTAAATTTTTGCCATTTTTGGACTTTTAGCCAGAGCAATTGTCGGGGGTTTCGTTAAATGTACTTATTGAATTTTTTTTGTTTTTTCGTACTGTTAAATGCATCTAAATCTAAACGCTAAAAATCCAAATGAAGTTGGTTAAGTCTACTGGAGGACTTCCACAATGAGCGAACGATGTTGAATCAGAAAGAGCTTTTCCTTATGCTTTGTTTTTTGATAATGTCTCGATTATCTATCTTTAAAAAGATAATTTTCGCTTTTTGAAAAACTTTTGAGATTAAATGAGATGTTATATAATCGATAAAGTTCAGTTAATAATCAACTAGAAATCACAAATTTCCCCGTATCTTGTTTAAAGTTTTAAAGGGTAATAGGTACAAATATTAGTAATTCTTTTCTAGCGAACCTTAAGTAGCAATTTAAGTTACACTACGTTTATTATTTTTCGCCTGGAGCATCTCTGGTTTTTCCTACTTTAATTATTCTAAAATCGTTGCATATTAATTACGAAATTTATCACTAATTTGATTGGCTTATTTGTGGTAGGGTTAGTAAGTGGTATTATGAGAATTCAAGTCAGTTTCATAATTTCATCGGTGTGAGAATAACTACCAGCCAAGTCAAGTAATTCATCCAATTATTGTTACATTTCTGCTTTAACTTCCAAGCGAAGATTAAAAAGGGATAATTTTTAAAATGCATCACATGTCAAATGAAGAGTTCGTACAACGCTTTTAAAAGCATCAGGCTCTTGCTCTTTTTGTTTGTTGGATTTATTGCTGAAATGTCTCGAAACAAAAACCTATTTTCCACTTGGCCACCGAAGCAAAGAGTCTCAGACAAGTGCAATAATAAAACAAAGAAGGGAGAGAGCATTTCGAGCTTGCAATAAAGCTTATACAAAGGTCGTATTTTGCAAGTACATGCATAAGCTCTTTAATAATATTCTTGAGGAGCCCCTTGAATTCTTTGTAAGTCTGATACGAAAAAAATTTCACCACAGGGAACAGCTACTGTTCAGTACTTGTCCCAAGTATGTGCTCTTGCAAGTGTAATAACAAACGTCGATTTGTGTCGCTTTTAGTACTTTACTTACGATTCAATTCAAAACTGGTTCAAATTGTTTTACTCCACGAGGGGACTCCGACAAATTCCGATGAAAATCAAAGTAGCTATTTCAGTATAAAATGATTTGTATTAAGCAGTAATAAAAAATAGTGATTTCACTATTACATTTAGTTGTTTGAGATGATTCTGGGTGATTTAAGCAATATCATATCAATGACTTGCACGTGCAAAGCCGATTTAAGAGAACGTTGCAAGCACATAACGTTGCAAGCACATTATTGCAACTTTGTTGTATTGCAGCAGCTAGGTCCTTAACCTCAAAATACTTATATCGTATCATTAGAATTGTGTTAAATCAATTACACAGGAATAAATAATTTCTCACTTTATAATTTTAGTATGATTCTAGTTTTAAATATTAAGGTTATGGCTGATGGTAAATACTTGCTGAAATATAATCATGTGCATTAAAATGACGTGAACAAATTTTTATTCCGGAATTCACT